ACCTGATGTACAGTACTTTTCACCTTGTCACGTTTCACTGAGTTATAAAAGTAAGCACAGAACTATGTACTTCCTGAGATTGAACAAAAGTCATTCCTATCAGCTCATGTGGAGAAGTATAGTAGAAAAGTTAGATGAACTGTGTGGAATGGAAAATTCCCAGATCCTTGAGGATGAAAGATAATCCTCCACATATTGTCAAGTGTTTATTCAAGTGCTGAAGTAACTGAAATTGAAGCCACCATTAGGGAGTCAACCCATCCAAAATATGTGAGCAAAACTCCACAATGTGGCAACCCCCCCTCCCCCCCCCCAGCTTAATTTTGTGAAGCGGTGAGAGAGAAACAACCCTGAAATTCATTTCATTGGCTCCTGTCAAAGCCTGCTGAAAAGCAAGAACCGGACTCTCAAATATAATGAGAAGTATTGTGTGAGAGAAACAACCCTGAAATTCATTTCATTGGCTCCTGTCAAAGCCTGCTGAAAAGCAAGAACCGGACTCTCAAATATAATGAGAAGTATTGTGTGTAGGCTACTTACACTTAGGTTCTTGGCTAATTTTGGGGGGATGGCTTGCAGAACATTCATGGGCATTAGTTGCTGCTGTTGATGGGCTGCATATCTGTAGTGGGATTGGCTGCAGCTATGTAGTTTGCAAGGAATCCAAGGCCCCCAAAGACTCACTGTAATTCCTTTCACAACCTGTTTCATCTCCAACTTCTTATTCTGTGCTGTAGTCTTTTTGGCCTTAGATAATCTTGCTATACTAGTAACAGCAAGGAGACTCTACCAGCCATTTTTTTCCTGGGTCTACAGATGATGGCATAAGAGCACCATTCTACCCAAGGTTTTGACTTCTGCTTGCTAGGTGGCTGAAGCAGATTTCCATGTCACCTGGAGCTATAGAGAGCTTGACAGTAAAGACAAAGTCCAACTTAGAGCGTGCATATTGAAAGACATCTCAGTAGTGGTTGAATGCTGCAGGAAGATATGTCATGTACAAAGCTGAATCTTTAACATTTGTAAGCCATTGGTTTGGGGCATCAAATTTAGTCCCTTCTGCCATGATATTGCTGTGGGCCTGGGAATAAGCACCAAGAACATACAAACATAAACCTGGATTGATTAATTTAGTTTCTTGACTTTGGGATGTGTGTTCTGATTTCTCAAGGATAAACATAGGCCATGTCGGGATCATCAGAAAAAATTAAACACTAATTGCTTTCTGAATTTGATGTGAACAACATATTTTACCATTGCCAACAATGAAGACAATACCGCACATCATACAATTGAAAAGCAGCAGGTACAGCAAGAAAAATAGAATAAAAGTAAGAACTGCAAGACTACTTAAGAAATTACAGCTGTATTAGCAGCAAACATAACTGCACACAAATAAAGTAAGATAAAAACACTTCATTTTAAGACACATTCTACTTATCTAAAATGTAACAATAAATGTCACTTTAGTTTGGTACAACTTTACATAGGTTTGTCTGGATATGTTGTCATTCCTCAGAACATGTGAAGAGGGGCTTACAAAAAACCACCAGTGTCATGTTCAGTCCAAAGAACTCCCCGAGACAGTGCAGATACAGTTCTGTTGCGTTTATTAGCTTCCACCTCAAGACAGAAATCTCTTCAGACTGAATCTGACTTCCCAAGCCAGTAAGCCAAAATACTGTGAATTCCTTAGGGTGGTGCCAGTCTTATCTTCTTAAACTTCCCACACTCCTGTTGGGGGCTAAGGGAATGCTTATCTCCTCAAGCGTGGCCTTCATCCAACTATTCCTTCACAACCAGGCACAGTTAGCTATTTTCTACAAAAAGTTCCCCACTTTTAATAGTTTTGACAGGGCAAACCTGATGTCCTTGTTTCTCATACTATAGATGATGGGATTCAATAGAGGTGGGATAAAGCAATACAGTACAGTTGTTGCTAAATCCAGTATGCTGGAGGGTGGCTTCATATATGCAATGAGTGCAGTTATAAGGAATATGGAAACAACAGTAAGATGGGGCAAGCAAGTGGAGAAGACTTTTTTCCTTCCTTCCTTGGAGGGAATTTTTATCACAGTAGTGAAGATAGACACATAAGAAATCAGGATAAAGAAAAAACAACCTGTGCCTAAGACACAAATGACCACAATTAGTTTAATTTCATGTTGGTTTAAGCCTGTACAGGTGAGTTTAAGTAACTGTGGAATTTCACAGAAAAACTGATTGATCGTGTTGGAACAAAAAGGAGCTGCAAAGGTAAAACAGGTGTTCAACAATGCGTTAAGTAGGCTGCTGACCCATACAGCAAGAATCATGTAAATGCAGGTTTGTTTGTTCATTATTCTTTCATAGAGTAATGGATTGCAAACGGCAACATAGCGATCATATGCCATGACTGTGAGGATCCAAAAATCACATCCCATAAAAAAAGCAACAAAGAAAACTTGAAAAACACATCCAAAATAAGAAATGTGTTTTGTGCTCATGAGTATATTGGCCATGGATTTAGGAACAATGACGGAAATGGCACCAAGGTCTTGTATGGCCAAGTTCATCAGGAAGAAGTACATGGGAATATGCAGATGTTGGTCGAAAAGTATTGCAGAGATGATAATGAGATTCCCTGTCAGAATTGCCAAATATAATACAATGAAAACAAAGAAGTAAAGCATCTGCAGTTCTTGTACCTCTGAGAAGTCAAAAAGCATAAAATCAGATATAGTGGATTGATTATCCATGTTTTACAATATGGCACATGATGTTTCTAGGAAAAAAAAAAAAAAAGAACAGAAGGATGGTTATTTTATCTGGATTCATCCTAAAACATTATTTTAGGTGTTTGTCTTTAAGGAGAACACACACACACACACACACACACACACACAGAAACACATGTATGTATGTATGTATGTATGTATGTATGTATGTATATATGAATCAGTTTCATCCTAAACTGTTAGATCTCCCATTCATTTTTGGATTTTTGGATTTGATCTGTGTATATTTACTAGTTTCCATTTCTTTAAATTTTCAAGAAAAGACAAGTGGTGTTAATGGTGAAGCACATTATGCTAGTTCTTGGTGTCATTTCTGCCAAATTTCAATAGTACATTTTAGAGGATTTCCCCCCTCTCATATTAAATGCAAGTACATCCATCCATTTCCCTTGTAACTGAAGGGAACTGTATTCTTCAATCTCTATTCATTTTTTAAAATGAGTCTTTCCAAACAATGGAAATAGTGTGTTTCATTTGGAAATCTATAAACCTTAACATTAGCAAAATCCCATCCCTTTCTGAGGTTTAAGATAAGATGATTTTCTATTTATGTGTGGCTTTTTAATACATATTTTGTAAATATTTTTGCCACAAAATTAAGGTTTTTCAAGTTAAGGAGAATCACATTGTTTAAGAAATATATAGTAACATTTTTTAATTATTTTATTTGATACCAAGCATCATTGCAAGGGCATTTTGGGGAGAATTAGAAAGGCTGGGAGCCATTTCTCCACTGCCCT